ACATCTAATTCAAGTTTTGCATCCGCACAATAAATATTTTATTGTCTTTCAATTATGAATGCAAAGGTTATTTTATATGTTGCTTATTATATTACTTTTCTTTTTTCTTTTTTTTAATCTTCATTTTAGTGATGATATTTATATAATTATATATTTATTTATTTATAACAAAAAAAAAAAACAAAAATAATACGTTCGACTTGCTGAACAAATTTATTCGTATACTTACTTTTGTTCATTAGAAAAAAAAAAGATGTTTTTTATCACATTATATACATAGAAGTTTACGTGAGTAAATCTTCAATTATATAAAGAGACAACTTACGTATATCTAGATGAACGAAGTGAAAAAAGAATGAAAAGCATAATAAATGATAGGTTTCATTTTGATATGTAACCAATGTCTCGCCTCATAATATAATGAAAATAGGCGTCCAATGATGCATATTATCTTAATATTACGCAATAAAAAGGAAAATGCATTCAGTACAAATTTGTATTTCATACTGTAGATGATGATAGACAGATCATGAATCTCAAGGATAATTGTTACAGATCCAAATAGTGTTTAAAAACCTTCATATAAAAATCCCTATTAAATTTTCATTAGTAATAAAAAAAGACATATTTACCATTTTCCATAATATTTCGAACGATGAAATCATTATTCTATGATTAATCTAATTTTCAATCAGATCTGTGATTGTTTAATTCTAAAAATGTATTCCATTCATTAATATTAATTAAATATTGACTATAACTGTTACATTGACAATTAAGTTAAAAGTCTAAAAAATAAAAATTGAAAAATAAACTATCCACTAACCATCAAGTAGAGCGTCAGTTACATATAATGCTTAAAAAAATAATCAGTTTTTCTAAGTAAACATATCCGAAAATAATCTAAGAGAATAAAAGACAAATTACTTTAATTAATAAAATAATACGTATATAATCTGAAGTAATAGATTTTATATATTATTATTATTCATTTATTCTCTATAGTTTTCGTTGTTTTAAAATGCCTTGCAAAAAAATCAAAGTATAATATTTGTCTAGAGAAAAATAAAAAAACTAATAATTTTTGCCGAAGAACAATCTGATTAGATTTTTTTTGCTTAAATGTTCTTTGTAACGATCATCAGATCATTCTTCAACTTTGCGATTTTCATTAAGCGGAAGTTTATCAGAAATCTAACAATAAGAAGATCAGTTATGTGGTTAAATCATGTATAGATCTATAAATTGTCGTATCAGAAAATAATCATGACTAATAAATAATACCCCATCGAACATTTCTGTTGTCTATCTGTTAAAGCAAATCAAACAATTATTCTTCTTATATTTTTTTCTTCATCTCCATCCAGAAAATGTTTTATTATAGAATCAAGTAGTGTTGACCTGTTTAACTGTAACTGTTCTGATAAATGATGACAATAATATATCGAGATATAAAATACGTATTACGTCATATTTGTCTTTTTATGAGTACTAATTAATTAAGAGTTTTTTTTTTGCGAATCATGAGATCAGATAGGATTCGAAAATATTACAGAATAGCAACGCAACTGAGGTAATCAAGGATGTTTTACACAGTGAAAAAATTCAAAAATAGAGACTTTCAAATTTGATCTCCGAAAACAGTCTGTGAGCAACAAGTCAAATTTTCGTCTCTAGTTCTGTCGAGAATACGATCCATTTAATGCTTAACATCCTGCTTCTTTGATACTTGCTCAGGCATAGATGAGAGAAGGGCTGCAGAATTCAGAATTTAAAATTCCAATCGATAAACCATGGATTTCCTATGAATACAAACTTTCAATAAGCATACGACGAGTGTATATATACACCAGGAATAAACTTTTTGAGAAGAATATAAAAATACAAACAAAATTTAAACAGAATTCTGCTACAAGGAACAGAATACAAACTTTCTATAGGCATATCAGGAGTGTGTATATCTACTAGGAATAAACTTCTTGAGAAGAGTATAAAAATACAAGCAGAATTTTGCTACAAGTAACAGAATACAAAGTTTCACTAGTCATACGAGGAGGAAAAGGGACATTTGGCACCAACTTTTCATTACGATCTCCAGTAGCATATGTTGGTTACGATCTTCGGACATAAGAAAAAAGACAGGATGTTCGGAATTAAGTGGACGGGAGTTCGGAATGACAAAAATCAATCAAAAATAAAAAATAACAGGGTGTTCGTGATGAAAGTTGTTCAGAAGATCGTAACGAACAACGAATATTGACTTTTAGAGAAACAAATCGTGAAATTTGACCGGAGTTTGGCAGGAAAATGATGGATGATCGTAACAATAAAAACAGGGTGTTCGAAAATTTGTTTATGTTTGCTGTTTTTTAAGATATGTTAAATATTTTACTATTGTTTATTCTAAGACCACTACATAAACGACGGATCAGAATGTGAGAGTGAGGGTGAGGGTGTGGAGTGTGAGCGTGGATGAGGGTCAGTAAATAGAAGACGTCATCTTCACATCCTCACCTACGCCCTCGCACCCTCACTCGTCTAGCCAATAATTTTTGAACGTAGAGACTTTTAATTATATAGTACTTCATTTTCCCAAAGATTAGTGCTATCAATTATCAACATTATGTATAGGTTAAAGCACCAAAGTCACAAACATCTTGTACAGTTATCATAGCGTTATGTGTAGAGACAGAGAAAGATAGATGTTGTTTATATAATTACGAAGATATTGTATGAATTATTCTTGATTTTATAAAAAAAAAAAGAAAGAAAAGTCTTTATGACCGTTGCGAATATCAGAATAACTCAGTTACGATCTCCTGGAAAATTGGATCACGAACTTCCCGTCTTTTTCATCCCGATTCCTAAACATTACTCCGCAAATAGTAGTGATCATTCCATTCCGAATTCCCAGTAACGCCTTTCCGATCTCACTGTGTTTTCGATTACGAACTCCCGTCGAATATTTGTTGCGGCAAAAAGTCATTTCAGAACACCCGGACACATGTCCGGAGTTCGGAATGACTTGGTGCGAAATGTCCGTCACCCTACGAGGAATATATATATCCTCGAGAAATAAGCTTCTAGTAAAGAATTTCAAAATACAAGCAGAATTTAAACAGAATTCTGCTACTAGTAACAGAATACAAACTTTCAATAAGCATACCAGAGGTTACACATCGATCAGGAAAAAATTTCTAGTAAAGAATTAAAAAAATCCTAGCAGAATATAAAACAGAATTCTAATATCGGTAAAAAATAGATCAATTCACTAAGATAAATTCACAATAGCAAATAAACTACTAAGTACCACACTAACCTGTCATGAAGTATTCTATAGAATTCTGACTAGAATAGAAATAGACCAGAATGGAATATATAGTGTTTGATAACATAAAAATGTATAAAATTCGGTAGAACTCTAAGCAAAATTTAAATGGATCAGAATGGGATATGTTGTTTTCGATGACACAATTCTACAGAATTCTAAGCAGAATGCTATTACCACGAAAGAATATAAACTTTGAATAGCCATACTATAAAGTTATATGCCCAAGAGAAAAATAAAATTCTGATGAAGATTTTAAAAACATCGGCAGAATTTTAAAACAGAATTCTGTTATCACTAACAGAATATCAATTTTCAATAGCCATACTTGAATTCAATGTCATATCTGCAATAGAAAAAAAAATCCTTCTGAAGAATTTTAAAATATTAGGAGAATTTGAAACAGAATGCTGTTACAACTATCGGCATATAAGCTTTCAATAGGTATACTAGAAAGGTATATCTCAAGTAGAAGAGAAAAACTCTTATGAAGCATTTAAAAATATCAGAAGAATTTAAAACAGAGCTGTGGTACCACTAAGACAATATAATCTTTCAATAGACATACTAAAGGCACATTATTCTACAGAATTCTACAAAATTCTAAGAAGAAATTAAACAGACCAGAAAAGAATATTATAATCAAATCGTTAAAAAAATATATAAGTCCACAAAATTCTGAATTCTGCTTGGTAGACATTCTGCAATTGCTGCATTTGTCTTGACTAAAGTCACGAAAACATAGACTTCTCTTATTCAAATAGTCCCTTATAAATTAATGGAAATAATGACAAAATCGTATGCAAATATCGAAAAGCAACCTCTTTAACCATTATACAAGGTAGTGGAATTTTTTTTTGGATGGTCAGAAAAAGCCAAAAACAAAGTCTAATTGTACTTCTTTCGTTCATTCATCTTCGCTAATATTTTTCTCAACATTGAGCTTGTAGTGTATAAATATTACTACAACAAGATACTACAAAACTTTTTTCTTTTAACAACTTTTTCTTTTCTGCATGGATATTTTTCAATTGATTTTTTTCTAAGTCTTGTCTTATCTGAACATATGTGCCACAATAATGCCATCTAAATAAATAAAAAAACTAGAGAATAAATAAAAGAATACATGTTTTGGCGTGTAATCATAAAACAAAACTAACAAGACGAGTTTGTGCAAGAGCTTCATGGATATTCTAACAGATATGAAAAAATCATTTTCGACGCACAGTATGAATTGTATGAGAAAAAAAATACATATTTGATAGATATTTAATAGCTAAGAATCCTTGAAACATCTTATCATACTAAAAAACTTCAAGTAATTATAGATTAGTGTATGAGTAAACTCATTGTAAATGCATCTATAAATCAAAATATAAATAAATTACACTAGTGAATTGATAAATTCTGGTTAGTGTAGGTGCGGTTGGAAATAAAAAGAACACGTATACCCTCAAGTTTGTCGTTCATCGAAAGCAAATCAATCATCATCCATCCTTTTTCTTGTTTTCATCATTTTCACAACACTTCTATCTATCTTGATAGCTCTATACAAGAAATTTTCGATACTATTTGCTAGAGTATTTCTCGTTTTTCTTAAATATATGTTAGAGTTCTCAAGATTGTAAAAAAAAGTATAAATTGATTTATTAGTCAAAAGTATCAGAAAATCCTAATTGTAATGATTATTGACAGCCTTGTAGATATGATCTGTGGTCATGTCTCTATCGAATTCTCTTCTCCAAACATTGATTGCATTCTCACATGATTCTTTGATTTGATCTGTCTCAATCGAAATCCTTGGAGCATGATCAATAACATATCCAACTAGACGTAGACAATCAAATGCATATTTTGTGGGTTCTTGCATATGAGCATGCCAAATGATTTCAATCTACAAAAAAAAAAGGAAATATTGTTGATAAATTATTGATCTTTGACTACTTACAGCATATGTCGGATGCCCAAATTGATATCCATCGACGGGTGGATATTGAGTTACTATGTATAAAAATCGTTCGTAGGATTTTTTTAATAGTTGCAATGGTGAAAATCCAAGATCAATTTTGTACGGAGGATTGTAGTCTTTTTTTGAAACACTTTTATGCATGAATTTTTTACACAAATCAAGCCAATTATTATCGAGAATAACATCGGATTCAGTAAATGAAAACGGATTTTCATAATCCTTAGGTGATTCTGATTCAAATTGAAAATATGTTTGATCCCAATAAGAATAATTCGGTGTGAGACATGAACGAAAGAGAGAACGATGATATCTCAAAGTATCTTTTCCTTTCTCTGTACCAATTAATAAAGGACAATATTGTTCACCAAATCTTTCTTCATAAAATTGGCAAGTCTCTAGAAAAGCTTGTTCTTTTAGGAATTGTCCGATGTTATCGATTAATAATGAATGTTCAATCACATGATGAAACAAACGTAAACAATCTTTTCGATATATTTGTGGACGCAATAAATGTGTTTGCCAGACGATTTCAATATCCAATGTTGGCACAAGAAAAATATTGTCTGGAAATGACGCTTTTAACTGCATGAATCGATAGTATCTCATAATCATTTGTCTGACAATTGCTGGTTGACACCAATCAACTTCGAAGTTAGATACCTTTTCCAATAAAGAAATCAGTTCAGGAGCTGTTCTATCAATATCAACTGACAGTTCAATAGTCCTATTAAGTATGAAAAATTGAATCAAGTGATTTCTATCCTACTAATTTGATCTTTCATAAAGCTTACGTATCTTCTGAGACATTCGGATGTTCATCAAATCCAGTAATAGATCGTAATTGAATGTTTTCTGTTGATTCAAGTAAATAGAAAGATGATGAGTAATTCGATTTTAGAAATCCACAAGCATTTTCAGTCTTAATTAATTCTTGATTGTGCAAATATTTTTCATAGATCCAGTCCATGTAGATTTCTTTGAACGATTTTGAATATAATCTATGCGATGCTATGTTCATACTCAGAATAATGAAATAGACAAATTACTCGTCACTTACTATGGCATTTCAATCGCCATATTTCATCATGATCAACAGTTAGTTTAAAAGCTCGACAGACCAATGCCACATTTACCAGATCAGGTACGGATAGTAATCGAAAGATTTGAATACGAATCTCGGTTGGAATGTTTGCGAATGGCGATTCTGACAAAGCATCTTGTGTCGGATGTTCTGGCCACGATGCTTTTAAAGTGACTCTAGGCGGAGAGCATGTCTCACTCTCTTTGACAGGTCTCATATCTTCTTCATCACTGCTATCAATGACTGTTGGCTCATGCTCTAGAGAGAAAAACAACAATTTGATGACCAATCGACATGGAAATATTCATGCTAGTAAAGGACATTGATGACAGGATCACCAGCACGCAGAGATTTCGTTTGTTTTTGACCAAGGGGGGGGGGGGGGGGGGGAATTTTTTTCCTAAAGAGAATCTGCTAGGAGAAAACGAAAATATTTTTCCAAAGAGAAAATCCGCTGGAGAAAAACGATAAATTTTTCCAGGAAGACTTTCTCCCAAAATTTTAGGAGGGGGGAATTCCCTCTCTTCCCCCCCCCCCCCCTCTAATCATATGGCCTGCCAGCACGTACACTCTGTTGTAGATGGTTACTTTATGAGCATCACTCTCCACTTTCTCTCTCCTTCTACTCAGTTATGAAAAAATAAAGTACTTCAAATCCAATTCCTGGCACATTCATACACACACTATTATTCAATCCATAAACCAATCAAGATGTAAAAAAAGAATACTTTGCAAAATCAATATATGAATAACAAACCGAAGTGTTTGAATTATGTGCTTGTTTAAATTGTTTACGAGAATGAATATCTATCAGGAGTAATAGTTTCTTGTGTGACCCAAGTTTATTATAAAACATGAAAAAAGGAGCTCATTCTATAGGTAATATTGTAAAAGAGTAAAAGTACACTTGTTGAAAAACTCATATATTCTGATCTTATCAGAAATAATGATCTGACACAAATTTAAATTATGGGAAAGAGTGAAATCTTGCTTAAACTTTGAGGACAAAAGAAATAAAAAAAAAAAAACAGGAAAATTCTATCTGTTCTTGTTACACAAACTCTAGGAAATTTCTCAGTTTGTTGGTTTCCTCTTAGATTGTTTTGAATTATGAATTATGATTATATTTTACTTTCGTATTCCACATTCTCAGATAACGGTCAATACTTCAAAATAACTCACTGATCTTTGTTTTCCGTTGGCGACGAGTGCATAGTAGTGATGTCGATGTGTTACCCATGATAAATATCGGTCACGACTTTGAGTAACTATTTTATTTATGATGTAAAAGCATGAGTTATGCTCGCTTTTATTTATCTCTTTCATTACTCAAGAAACAAAATGAATCACACATGACGAGACATTGAAATACTTTTTTTTTCTTTTTCGTTTTTTTTCTTCCCTTAAGGGATATATTGCACCTTCTATTCAATGTTCTGATGCATAAGCAAGGGTAAAAAAAAAAAAAGAAAAGAGAACGAAAGAAAAATGAAGTATGTTGTGTATACATTTTTATTCAGCAGTAAAAGAAATAAAACGAGAGAATAACTTGATAAGAACATCATCATTAGGTACATGGTAATTTATTTCGTTTCTGATTAGTTTTTGATTTTAATTGATCAATAATTGAATATAACAAATAAGAAGAATAATTCATATTGACATTGTATTTGTGAACTTACTAATAAATAATTTCTTAAACAGGCGCAATTGTAAAGTATTTCACTACGACATCTATCAACTTACCGAATATAACTAATTATTGTTCCCTATTTATCATTTGAATTTTCTTGATACTTTAATTTTTATGTTTGCCAATGATCAAATAGAGTTTATAAATGTATAAAATATATCAAATGAAGTTAAATATGATTGAAAATCCTATATCGCCAACCATCGTCCAAAATGACTTGAGAACTATATTGTCATATTTAGCAGTTGTTATCTGACAATTATATCCGAATATTTTTCTTGCATTACTAAGATCTTTTGTAACGCAATGTTTTGTTAATAGTAATTAAAACGATTAAATTTATTCAAACAAAAGCTAAGACAAGGTTGAATATGATTAATACAAATGACAGTTAATTATGTCATCATCACTTAGTTACTTATTGAAGTAGTTGATTTGAAAACATTTAATTAGATATGAAAATAAATAGATAGAAATGATCATCAATTGTTACCAGGGCTGGTAACTGTATTCCATTTTCAGGTGCACTATCCCGATTTGAGTTTTTCCTTTACACTACATAAATTATCTTCTGATCGAAATTTAAGAAGGAACATCGCTCAAAAGAGAAAAAGATAATTAAAATAAAGAAAAACCGAAGTAACAAATGATCTGATTTGCGAATGGCTTGCAGTTCTTTGCGATGACTTTCTCTGTGTAAAAATTATTCAAAATAACAGAAAAATCATCTAAATCATGAAAGTCATCCATTAACTGTTTCTCTATCGACATCGCCAAATACATCCATATCAGGAGAAAGCATCCACAAGTTTAAATGTTTCAATGTATTTTTTCTGATGTTAACTTAGGTAGAAAGATATTCCTAAGATAAAAGTCATTTGTAGACACACATATATTTTTAGCCTCATATTCGTACATTGTAGCCTTACAAGACCTGTGAGTATGCTTATGGAAATAGATCTTTTTAAATTCACACCCACACACTCTCTTCTCACATTATCGCTCGAAGTCGTACATCGGATCTTCGATCATCTTGATACACAAACAATCTTTTTTTTTCATTTTATTGACTTCGTTGATATCTCTATATAATTGCCCAAAAATTTGCGATCAGTACACATTAGATTTCATTTTCATATGACAAAATGACTTCATTCGTTTTCATGGGATTGTTCCATCTGAAAATGTTCTATTAATTTATTTCTCATTTAGTTTCGAGATGAAAAATTGGATACGAGCAAATCTATCAGTTTTTGACATTCGACAGTTGACTAGACTTCATTTATTGATCATTTTTTGGATCGAAGATCATCGTTTGAAGATAATATTGCGTCATGCCACAGAAAACTTTATGCTTATTTCATTTCCTATTAATAAATTTATGGTGTATATCAAATTTGCGTGACGTCTATACTAGTTCTTCAGCAAGAATGAAGAATACAGAAGCATGACTATATCGAACGAGAAACGAACCGATCATGTGATAATCAAAACGGTGTTTGATAACAGAAAAGAAATGTGTTTCTTGCACTTTACTTTTTTCAATTATGTGAATTGCAGTTGATCCCTTCTGTGTGTACAATCGAATAATATAGTTTTCGAAAATCAACTGTCAACAAAACATGTACCATCGATTATGTACTGAAGTTAATGAGAAGCGTCACCCATTCTTAATGTTAATGATTGACGCAGTTTTGGACTTTCAACTAGAAGAAACTTTGAATATTGTCAAATTAGGAACTATGTTCGAAGTCTGAAAATGAAAGTGCTGTTGATTTAATTCTTTACCCCGTCCTTAATAGCAATACTGGCATAATCGTTTACATGGTTTTGAATAGTGGCATGTATTTGCGCAAAATAAACAGCATACTTCACCTGAAATGAATATTGAATATAATCATAGAAGTTTAACATAGTTGTTGTCGATATCATCAGTAGCAAAAGCATGAGGTCAGATGCTTGAAGTAATCTTGAAAAATCATTCATACCACTTCGATGAAATGCTGACGAGAGAAAACAAGCAATATTTTTTCGAAAGATTATTCATTGTGCTTGAAGAAAGTAAATATTATACTTCCTTCTTTCATTTTCAAACACACGACTACAGTAACTATGTATATAAATGCGTGTTTTAACGTCAAAATATGTTCCTTTTCAAAACCAACGATTGACAGTGACACTGTACTAATGCATCTATTCAGTGTGTTATCTATTGCAGTTTTGCTTTTGATCAAACAAGGTAAGCTGTATGACTATCATGAATTTGTCTTGTTTTCAACGTTTATCATTCTATTTGAAGAAATCTTTTGTTCATTGAACATTTGCTCATTGGAGTTTTATTGAAAACAAAATTGAAGAGTGTTTATTTGAACCAACTCACAGAACTGAGACTAGTAAATCCCGACAAAATTTTTTCAAAAAAAAGAAGAAGAGCATAGTTTCTTTTTCTGTTTTTCACATTTCTCGTACATGCGTCACCATCTGAAATGCTAACAATTGAGCTTCTAATATCGATCACGAAGTTCAGTTCTGAAAGCGTTGTTTTTCTATTAACTGAAAGTCTCCAACCAATTAAGAATCTTGAAGTCACTTATCAATTCTACCTAGTTGCATAGTATATTTTAGAAGAAGCACTAATGCAAACTGTCATACCGATTTTTCAAATATTCTATAAAGATCCTGTGCTATTACAATATCTCTGGATTTTGATTATTCGAAAAGAAAAGTAAGCACTAATTAAAACGCAGTCTTGTGATAATTCACTTTATTCAAACATTAGTGCAAGACCTGGTGGAAGCATAGATTCGAGCCCATAATCTCCCAACAAACAGTGAAATACTATAAATCCAAATGAAAATAGTTTTTCATCAGAATAATAGAATAATTAGTCTACGAATTTTTTTTCAAATATTGTTCATTTAATTAATACTCGATTTTTATTAGTTAAATTTTCTATTGAAAGAACGCTGCCAGTGCCACTCTTATAATCATATAAAAATCATTGCTATTTATCAATGATTTCAGGCATAGATCAAAATATAGACACTGGGAAACTTCACTATTCATACTTATGTACAATACTAAAAAGAATAAAATTTTCTTCAATTTGAAATTCTTCCTCCTACCGTGCTGTAGAGATACGTTGATGAATTTCTAATTAAAGAAAAATGTATTTACATGCGGCAGAATTTCTTATACCGTACTCATCGTATGGATTACAGCTTAGAGAAAACATTCCTATTATGGAAAGAAAAACCCACATTTATATCGCATCGATGAGCTAGAATAATAGTCAAATACTTAATTAATGATATATTACATTTCAGAAATACGTTCAGACATGGTACAAATGTTCTCTGTCTTGGTCATACATTTGATATTTTCTCTAGTCAATACTTGTTTAGCCAGGAAAAACTATCTAGAGTAGGATGTGAAAAGGTAGCAATCAGGATAAAATAATTGCAGTTATAGACAGTTCGTTGTTCAAAAGAGTACTCAAATATAATGAATTCTGAGATTTTCGTACCTTTGCGAATGCCAAAACACAATGTTTATCCTTGGCGCATTATGAAAAAGTAACATTTCTACTTCAAGAACGTTCACACGTGTTGTTTTCTAAAAGTCATCGGTTTTTTTCAATTCGAACATACCATAGAACACGGGTGAACTCTGTTATTTTATGTCTCGTCGCGATTATTACACAATTCTTCACAATAAAATGTTGACACTTTATAACTCACTGCTGAGTTTAAATTCCTCAGTATACAAAAATTCAGCCTCTTCTTCAGAAATTCTCAGCACAGTCGCAGCATCAACAACGCTGAAAATGACAACGACACTCAGAACGGCAACAACAACTAGAGCTACGACAAAAGCAACAACAACTAGAGCTACGACAAAAACAACAACAACTCTCAGAACGACGACAACGGTACCTAGAACGACAACACCACTCAGAACGACAACACCACTCAGAACGACAACACCATCTAGAGCTACGACAAAAACAACAACAGCCAAAGCGACAACATCAACTCTTAGAACGACGACAACGGTACCTAGAACAACAACACCCAAAACGACAACAACATCTAGAGCTATCACAACGGCACCTAGGATGACAACAACAACATTCAGAACGACAACACCATCTAGCGCTACAATATCATCACCAACAACAACATCAACAGAATCAACAATAACAACAACATCATCATCAACAGCAACAGAAACATCCTCAACAATGACACCATCAACAACAATATCAACAGAATCAACTACAACAACACCATCAATAGAAGCAGCAGCAGCAATAACAACAACAACAACAACAACATCATCATTGACAGCAACAGAAACATCATCAACAACGACACAATCAACAACAACAACAGCAGCAGCAGCATCAACAGAATCATCGTCATTATTATCAACTACCTCAACTGGAATGACAGCAAAAGGTATGCCTGTTGGAAAAGAAAATAGTGTCACGATCAAAATATCCTAGATAATTGTGAAGTAAATGTATTCATAGCAGCATTACACACGATGGAGTATTATTGACTTGGTCTCTTGCTAGAGATACAGTATCCAATAGTTGCTCTAGTAGTTCTTTTATTTAACCAAAGTTCCTGTCATCGAAGCATATTAATATATTGAAAAGCTAAATATCACCACATGTACAACATGTCAGAGAAAAAAAAATGTTATTTCGTGCCAGGTTCACACTCACGGAAGTTGACATACCGCAACAGCCATTATAATGAGACCAGATTTTTCTACTAATTCTATCCGCTATTCGGAACTCGAAATCTTTGTTCGACAGATAATTGATAGAACTTACAGATCATTCATTACCGGATTTTTCTGTCGAATAACTAATTTATTAGAGAATAATTATCCAACTCGACAAATTATCTTTGAACTAATATTTGTCTTCAAATCATCATATCAGTCAAACTGCGTGCACTTAATCGTGGGTTTACAAATTATGAGTCTTGAATTCTGCAGGAAGAAGCATAGACTAAGAATATTTCCAGCGTTAGGCAACCTATCATTCAGTGTTTTGCAAAACTGATAAATATTTTTCATTAGTAGAAAATGCCAAATATCACGCCTTTTCAGGAATGTGAATGAAAAAATTGACATCATCAGACATTTTTCCTGACATTGAGAGCATAACAGGATTGGACATTTGTGGCTTAGAGATAAGTCCAAAAAGAAAAAAGAAGTAATTTTTCAAGATGATTTAAGAGATAGAGCGAAGAACGTGAAACAGATGTGAGCGACTTATCTTGCGTCAATCATAGTTAAATTCTATTGCAACTCACACACCGTTAGACCATGTTAAGGATGACAAGTGTAATAGGAAAGAATGAATTTCTCAGCTATCGATTATGTTTCTGAATTTTTTTTCTCGATCCAGGGTCTACTTGCAGCATTGCTTATGGAGTTCCGAAACAGTTTGGGACTGGACAATGGCAGTCTTCTGTAATAGCGGTTGATTTGAACAATGATGGTAACAAGGATATTGTAACGGTCAACAACATTAATGATACCGTTAGTGTACTACTTGGATATGGAAACGGGGCGTTTCGTACTCACGTACAATATACAGTCGGTTGGTACCCATTCTCTGTGACGTCGGGTGATTTTAACAATGATGGTAGTATAGATCTTGCAGTGGCTAACGTGTTAAATAATACTGTCAGCGTACTATTGGGATATGGAGATGGCAGCTTTAATAGTCATGTTCAGTATGCAGTCGGTACGGGACCTGAAGGTGTAACATCGGGTGATTTTAACAATGATGACAAACTAGATCTTGCAACGGTCAACAATGCGCAGGGCAGCGTCACCGTGCTACTCGGAGATGGCAATGGAAACTTTGCTAGGTATGCGCAGTATTCCGTCGGTTCCTTTCCAGAGTCTATGACTATGGGGGATTTTAACAATGATGGTAAACTAGACCTTGTAGCAACTAGCGCATCGAATAAAAGCATTAGTGTTTTACTTGGGCATGGAAACGGCACCTTTACTGTTCATAGGAATTATTCGACGGATTGGAGGCCGCAGTTTTTGACATCGAATGATTTCAACAACGACGGTAAATTGGACCTCGCAGTAATTAACAACGACAATAGCAGCATTAGGATACTACTTGGGTATGGGAATGGAAATTTTTATACTCAGGGACAGTATGCAGTCGGCTTGTATCCATACTCTGTCACATCGGATGATTTTGACAATGATGGAAACATGGACCTTGCAGCCCCTAGCGCCATAGGTTCTAGTGTTAGCGTGTTGCTTGGAAATGGAGACGGCAGCTTTCAAACTTATTTGCGATATTCTGCGGGTTTCGTCCCATATTGCGTGACAACAGGTGATTTCAATAATGATCGAAAATTAGATTTTGTAGTGAGCAACTACTACACTTCTACTGTCTCCATATTATTGAATACTTGCTCCTGAACTACTAACTTTCTGCTATAGAACCGTATAAAATATAAGATTTAATCAGGCGTAACATATACTGATGTTGATGCTTTTAAAATAAAGAATTGATGACACACACACGTATGAAAAATGTCTATATGAAAAGATAATTATGACTCATTTTCAAGATCGTCGCAATAAAGTTTGTATCAGGATGTTTTTTTTCTCCTTAGGTGGACATGTTTAAAACGAAATATTAAAAATAGAAAAATGATCAACATATCGACTTTCACTAATCCTAGAAGGTATCCTGTTCAACTCGTCTCCTGTCACATCTAGATACACAATTAGGTTATAATTTATTTCAGGAAATCATTTATTAATAGCTAAAATATACAATTTTCTCGACGATATCTACGATGCAATTCTTGATGACAAACATGAGGAAAGCATCATGAATAAATTTGACAAGTCAGATATTATGAACAAAATGATTGACCTTCTTATGTAAAATATGACCATCAAACTATCCTAGAATGATTAAATTACAACATGATATCAATCAGTCAGAAAATGAAATAGACATTCTCATTATTTATTGAAAGTAAAAATTACCTTACCAATATACAATCTTTCATTGCTCATCATAATTCTGCACTAGAAATTAATGCTGATTGAATAACAGTTGAAGCTAGAAAATACACTTGTATCCAGATCCATACCTATCTTAATCCGTACTTCATTCAAATATTCGAAACAGATACGGAAAGTTTGATTCTTCCATTTTCCTCTCTCGTTGTCGTCCTGTTTCGATCAATGAATTCTCAAATTCAGAGACACTGTCATCTGAATCTTTTTGACTTTCACTTATTTGACGTTGAATACTCTTTCGATTGTTTTTGTTTAATTTTTGGATGACTTTTTTTCATTTTCATGTTCATCAACAATAAAAGTGCTGAAATCTAAAATTCATTTTCTTCTGATTTGTTATCTTCTTCATATTCATTACTTTAATTTTCAGAATCAAGTGATTGCAAAGAACATTTATTTTGTAATTTTTGATTTATTTTCCTTTATTAATTTGGTGTTTTAAACATCATGTATTCAAAATTTTCTGTTGCTATCGATATTGTTTGTCAGTTTCGTCAAAATAAAATGTTTAATAAACATTCGTTGGCAGAATTCTGTAGTGATTCTGATGATGAAGAAGATATTTGGGATGAAACAATGACTATTAATCGACATCTCTATCAATTATCATCAGCATTACATTTTCATCTTAGTCAACAAAATTTGACATCAGAAGATGATGATGATGAAGAACTTCACTTCAGAACTCATCATGAAATTATGGATTTAATGAATCGAATAAGTTTTGATTATAGTTAATATTTATAAATATACTTTTCTTGTTTTTTCTTTATTTATAACAAATATTGAATGCATTTGATCAAGAAGAATCGTTAACTGACGTATCAGAAGCTGAAAAAGAACGTACACTATCTCCATTAATCGCTGAACAAGAAGGTCTAGAACATCAATTGAGTGATATTGATGATGATGATCTCTTATTAGGTAGCAATGATGAATCAGAATCTGAAGGAGGTACAATTATAGGTAACTAAAATTAAAAAAAAAATGATTAGATGAAACAAAAAAAAACTTCATAATCGCTGATTCCAGTTATAAATTGCAAATTGTCAATTAATTAGAAAAATATTTCAAGATTTGTAAAATTGATGATTCTATATGTAAATTTAAATAGTATTGTAATATATGTATATATATATTGAAAACCAAAAGGGTTATTTAGTTTAAGCATGAATGTCACTAATGTAACATGAACGGGATTCGATGGTTTTAGAAAGCAATTAAACAGAACCTCATATTCATATTTCTTTTTGTGAAAAGACTTTTTTCATAGATACTTTAATTTAGGTACATTTTCAGACCCAAGATTTTTTTCAAATAGAATTTCTTTGCACTCCTAAAACCATTTATTTTTTTAAGGATGAGTTCTTCTATTTCCGATTAACGTAAAATTGAAAAGTTACATTTTCTTCTATGCGATGACATTTTCTATTGTCACCATCGTGTGTAGTTCTGATTTGTTTTCGAGATATTCATTGCTTTTTTTTTCTCTTTTAGATTTTTAGTTTATGAACAGAACCAAATATACAAGAATGCTTGCATAAAAATCTCAATTTAGAATATTCATATATGTATAAGAATGTCTTATTGTGTTGTTTTTTTATTAAGTGTACTCTAGTTGAATTGTAAAGAATTACATGCTAGATTTCTATTTTTCTTTTAATTATTTATTTTGTTCATGTAGAATAATTTAAACACTATTTTTGAATAAAAATATTCGTTAATTCATTTCAGAAATGAGACCTTTTGAATACAATAATGGTAGGAAAAGTTAATGTTATGCACAAAAAATTGTAAAACTTTCGGATAAAATCGAATATTAAGTTTCTATTCATCACTAAAATTGTTAGAGTTATCGAAAAAAAAAGGTGATTTATCCCGTTGCAGCTCGTAATTATCATTTCGATGTATTGCAATTAATCGATCATTTCTTAGCAATTTAAGGACATACGTAGCTGCTCAAACGAACAACACTAGTGTGTTGGCGATTTTAAACGAGGATTGTATAAATTCAAGGTAAATCCATACGATTTATAGTCAAAAAAAACACATCAAAATGCTTCGAGCGGCAAAGACAACAGTATTTGATACACTGAGACTGATTCGAACACACATCATTTAGAACAACAAGAAAACTTTGCCTTTTTTCGACATCATAATGATTGTCAAGACTTCTTTCAGCTAGAATTCTAATTTAACATATATTTAAATAAATGCAATAGATATAATATGAATCTTTGCATCAAATAATGGTTGAAAAACAATGTCAGTAAAGCTATATGAAATAATTCATAGAAGAAAAAATTTCATCAATCGAAGCCTTGATTATTTTAATCGATTTCCATGTTGATGCGACGTTTCGCCAATCTGTACGAGAAAAAAAAATTGAATTATTTCAGAGTAAAACATCAATCAACTCTCTTTAAATGATTTTTTGTTATCCATTTACGGATAACTATTTAACTTACTGTTTTTTAACACTACTCTGTTCGTCTGTAGTTGTATTTCTGATACACAGATATGCAGCGTCCAACATGGTCGAGGTTCATAGCGAAATAGAATATACTCAACAAAACTTTGATTCAACGATATCATGTCTTTCAATGAAAAGCTAAAAAATTCACAAAATGAATATTGTTCATAAAATAAATAAACAGTTCTTATGATGCTTCCATCCGAAAACTATAAGCATGCTTCGCATGAGAGACTGCATATTAATCAGATATTCACCCATCGTGCAACAAACGAACTGGTCTTACAAGCCGTTTATTTCCATAATGTTCTCGCTTCACATAATAACCGTAGTGTTCAACAGATGTTCACTGATTATGAAACGAATGAACAGATCTTACCAACATTCTGTTCAAGTAATCAACTCGTTTTATATCAGTGACTGGATACTTATGAGAAGCTCATTGATCCCGGAACAAAGAAATATTTCTCAGCAATCTATTATTCCAATACTGTATTCTCCTATAATCTAATATTGTGGGTTCATCAATTCTCCGATGCTTACGAAACGAACGAAGAGTTCGTAGGAAATGTTTATTTGAATATTCTGCACAGTTCGCATGAGAGATTGAAATTTCAACACAGTTTACACATCAAGAAATAAACGAACATTTGTCAGGAACCTTCAGTTCGAATACTTTGCTCGTTAATCCTGAGAGACTAGAGTTTCATAAGCCGGTGATTGACTATGAAACGAAGGAATACTTATCAGCAATCTTGTATTCAAATATTGTTGCTCCCTCTCAATGAAAAATTAGAGTTTCATCAGTAGTTCATTGATCATGGAAAATAAAACCAATGCTTAAAAACTTTTTGTTCGAATGTTTTTCTCGCTTCGCATTATAGATTAGCTCTTCATCGGATTTCTACTAAATACAATAGGAATGAAAACTTCTCACGAGCCGCCTATTCGAATACTCAAGTCGTTTTGTATGTTAGATTGAGCGTTCATGAGATGCATAGCGATCATTAAGCGATAAAACAGTTTTCAACAAACGCCTATTTGAGTATTTCGCTGGCCTCATATGTTCAATAGAAAGTCTTTCGTATGTTCACTTATCATAAAACGGAGGAACAGTTTTTACCAATCTTCTGTTAGTATATTTAGCTCGTTTTATATCAGAAACTGAAAGTTAATCTGAGGCTGAACAATGATGAAATAAACGAATAGTTCTCAGGAACACTCTATTTTACTATTTCCCTCCGTAAGGATAAGTGTTTTCAGGATCATAAAATGCTTTACGGGTTATGAACCGAAAGTACAGTTCTGAATAACCTTCCGTTTGACTATTCAGCTCTATACGCATCAGTATTTTCAATCTCATTAAGAGTTTTACTGGTTATGAATAGAAGGAACAATACTCATGAACCTTCTGTTTGAATACTGAGCTCTCTATATATCAGTGTTTTGAAGCTTATAAAATGTTTCATTGGCTATGAATCAAACGAACAATTCTCAGGAATATTCTATTTGACTATTCAGCTTTCAACGAATCAATGTTTTCAGGTTCATAAAGTATTTCACTGGTGTTGAATCTAAGGAACAGTTTCGATCAATCTTCTGTTTGACTATTCAGCTCGCTACGCATCAGCGTTGGAGACTTATAAAGTGCTTAGGTGTCTATGAATCGAATGAACACTTCTCATTAACTTTCTAATTGATTATTCAGCTCTCTACAAATCAGTATTTTGAAAGGCATAATATTTTCTACGGATCATGGGCTGAATGAACAATTCCTAAGAATCTTCTATTTGATTACTCACATCACTACGGATCAGTGTTTACAGGCTCATAAATTGTTTTACTGGTTATGAATTGAAGGAACTGTGTCGATCAACTTTCGGTTTGAATACTCAGCTCTCTACGACTCGGTGTTTTGAGGTTCATAAAGTCTTTCATTAATTATGAAGCAAACGAACAGTTTTTAGCAAACTTTTATGTGACTATTCAGTTCGCTATACATCAATGTTTTGATGTTTATAAAGTGTTTCACTGGCTATGAATCGAACGAATAGTCCTCAAGAACCTTCTATTTGACTATTGAGCTCACTATATATCAATGTTTTGATGTTCATAAAGTGCTTCATTGGTTATGAATCACATGTACAGTTCTCAATCACTTCATATTTGATTATTCAGATCTTTAAAGATCCATGTTTTCAGATCCATAGAGCGTTTTATCAGTTATGAGTCGAACGAACAGTTTTTTTAATCGTCTATTCAAGTATTTTGCTACCATGAGATGAGAGCATGAAGTTTTTCAAGAAGCTCGCTAATAATGAATCGCGTATACAATTCCCAGTAATCTTCTATTCTTAGAATCAGCTAGTTTTTTGACAGAGACTGGATGTTTATCATGGATTCAGCGATGGCAAAACAAAGGAACAGTTCTCAATAACTTCATCTTTGACTATTCAGCTCTCTACACATCAATGTTTTCCAGCTCATAAAATGTTTTATCGGTTATGAATCGAACGAACAGTTCTCAAAAAGAACCTATCTGAATATGCAGTTTGTTTCGCAACAGAGATTAGCGAGCCAACAGAAGTACACTGATAATAAAAGAAATGAATAGTGTCTAAAAATCATCTATTCGCATATTTTGCTTACTTCGTATGAGAGATTGAAGCTCTATGAGACGCTAACCGTTCATGAAACTAACGAACACCACTTATCCATCTTCTATTCACATCTTCTTCACTTCATACGACAGATTCAAAGTGCGTCACATGCTCACTGGTGATGAAACGTTCGAGTAATTCTTTGAACCTTGTATTCGAGTATGTTGCTGCCTTGACATGAGAGTATGAAGCTTCACGAGAAACTGACTGATAATGAATCACACATACAGTTCTCATTAGTCTCTTATTCAAAGAGTTTGCTAGGTTTTTGACAGAGATTAGGTGTTCATCCAAGGTCCAGCGATGATGAAACGAAAGAATAGTTCTAACCAAGCTGCTATTTAATTATTTAGTTCACTATGGATCAGTGTTTTCAGGCTCATAAAGTGTTTTACCAGTTATGAGTCGAATGAACAGTTCTCAGCAAGAATCCATCTTAATATGCAGATCGCTTTGCAACAGAAGTTGGTGATTCAACAAAAGTATACTGATCACGAAAGGAATAAATAGTGTCTAGTAAGCGTCTGTTCGCGTATTTTGCTTACTTTGCATGAGAGCTCGAAAAATTCGATCGTTTTTTCGATTTATAAAACAAACGAACAGTTAGTATCAAGTATCGGTTAGAATAGTATGCTCGGTTCTCGTACGAAATGGAAAGTTCAACAGAAGTTCAATAATCGTAAAATGAACGAACAGTTGCTACGAGTCGCATATTCAAGTATGTAGCTCGTTTCGCATGTCAGATTAAGCGTTCATCAGATGCACAACGATCATTAAAACGGTAGAACAGTTCTCACTAACTGTCTATTAGTGTATTTCACTCGCCTCGAATGTTAAATAG